AACAATACATAAAGCGCTGAACAGTAAGACAAAGAAATGTTTGTATGTCATCTCAGCAGAGCAATGTTGTTGTCCGAAGAAATCTTGGCAGCAGACGGACGATGAGTTAAACATGAACACACGATCACACGACACCTACTGTAGGTTTGTTGTTGTGCGTTAGAACTAAATTCCGATAAACGCGAGCGCAATTGTCGGTGTCCGTTTTATAGTTCATCCTTTTGTGATTAGGGGTGTTCATAATATGTAGCATCTCTAAAAAATAGCGTTTATTATAGATTTTTTTCTTCTTGCAAGATTGCTACTTTATCAAAGTCGGGATAGTGTCCCGTATCCTGGCAATGAGATGACAAGGCTGTCTTATTGTCCGCCGAATTATTCCTCAACTTAATGTTTGATTTGTGAGCGGAAATCCTTGCCTTTAATTTCGATTTTGTTGTCCCCACATATACCATATCGCATACGTGGGACGCGTCGCCACTGCATGGTATTCTATAAATTACATCAGACTTCTCATTTATTGAAATTTTATCTTTGGTATTTGAGTAAACTTGTTTCAGCGTATTGTCATAAGTAAACGCTATGCGGAAATTGGCCTTGTCATATATTTTTGAGTATTTAATTCTCTCAGATAATCCTGGTACATATGTTGCCGATTTATACATTTGGTTGTTCCCGTCACTATATGATTTCTTTTTACCGGTCTGGACATAGAAGTCGCGGATAAGCTTATTAATTAAGCATTGTGGAAATTCATTTTTCTGCAGGATATCTTTGAGAGTGGCAATGTTCTTCTTATGATAATTTTCGTCACTTATCGTGAGGACTCTTGTTATAAAATTTTTGGCGGTATTTCGAATTATTTTCTTCTCATGTCTCGAGTTAAAATTAATGAGCCTCCCTGATGCTGTAGGTTTCTTATACCAGTCTGCTGTAAATTTGTTATTTTTCCTTATTATTAGGGTGTCCAGGTAGGGTAATTGTCCATCTTTTTCTATTTCTAACGTAAATTTTATTTTC